TTATAGTTAAAATGATGGGAAGGGTTTCTGGAACTCAAGAAAACCTGCGCAGATTATCTTCTCCTCCATACGTCACATACATATTTTTACTGTTTTCTGACTAAATAAATGTAAATCTCATAACTGGCAATACTGGTCATAGGACGGATGTTGATCACGTATAATAATCACCGCACGAAGAGAAGTTCGAGACAACAAAATTTTTTAAAATAAATCCCAGATGGTGGGAAGAGGTCTGGGATCCGTGTCCCAAGGGACGTCGAAAAAGTACTGATTACACAATATACAGAGAGCACCATCAAACCACCTGATATAAGTCCAATATAAGGTTCTTCGATTCTCCTGTTCAACTACCGCATTGCGACAGAACGGTGGAAATATGAAAAACGCGCGAGGTATTATATTACTCAGAATTTTTGAAATAATATGTTTCATCGGAAATGGCAAAGTGAATCGCACTTATGTTACCGACTTTCAGTGTAAGATCATGAGAAGTAATACATAAATTATTCACTGTATGCAAATATTTACGATGTGTTAGAGTATGTTGGAGTACTAATCTGTTCCCGATGTCATGATCTGCATACTTTATTTCGTCGCAAATCTGTTTTGTTCAGGATTGGAGAATAATTGGTATGTATAATATGGATGTTAGTTTGTTTGAAATTGGTAAATTCCTAAACGATCTGCCTGGAAGTTAGCAGGTCCACATGTTTTTTCACGAAGGTTTGTATGCTGTTCATTTTGTTGTAACTCCACTAGATTGCGCTGTAGGACAAGATGGCGCATTAGTTAAATGCATTTATCAATGCAACTGGACTTCATTATTGCTGGGCGTTAGCGTGTGTCTCGGGGCGGGGTCGAGCAGATCAGGACGAGGGCATGGCGCTGGATATAAACGGGACGAAACTAATGCTGATCTAGGAGACGACGAGTGGGAGGGATTCCAGCACAAGACCACTGGGTCGCAGCTGCGTTGACAGAACGGGAAAACGGCAGCGGGCCGTAATTTCACTAGTATAATATACAGGGTGCCCCGGGAGGAAACAAAGAAACTTTGAAAATAGGCTCTTAAATCAATTTTAAACATATTTAGTCTAACAAACTCCTTCGAGATTTTCAATTGCTGAGCCGCAATAAGTACTCAAAAGTTGGTTTGAAAAAATACTTTCTGTACAAAAATTTGCAGTTCATAAACATATAAATACTACAGAAGCATGTGAATTGTTTATTGATTTCAAAAGAAATGAATATATTTGTTTTGAAGGACAAGTTAACACAAGAATTATGTTTACTTATGAATTATGAACACATTATGTACACACATATCTGATTCTTTGCCAATTGCATGTGGAGTCCCACAGGGATCGATTTTAGGCCCTATTCACTTCCTACTATACGTAAACGACACGCCCTTGACGATTAGAAACAGAAGAACAGTTCTCTTTCCAGATGATACGAATATTCTTTGCAATAAAGAGATCGTAAGTAGTACAATATCAGATATTTCAAATTGGTTCCGTAATAACAAATTAATAGTAAAAGAAAATAAAACAATGCAGTTTTCCATATCAAATAAACAGCTCTACACTTCACTGAAAATGAACGGTATGCCATTGACAGATGTTAAGGTAACTAAATTTTTTAGGTTTTTCAACTCAGTCAAACCTTAAATGGAACGTCCATTTAAATGTATTGAACACTAAATTAATTTCTTTATGCTACGTTTTCAGACTTCTTTGAAATTTAGTAAGCCTATTCACGGCTTGTTGTGTATATATCGCGAATATTCATTCCCGCCTGAGATGTGGCATAATATTCTGGAAAAATACATCTTATAGCTTCCAGACTTTTAGATTACAAAAACGAATTGCACGAGTAATAAGCAAATCCCACCCACGTGATTCTTGTAAGAATCTCTTTATTAATCTAGGCATTTTACAGTTACCTTGCCTCTCAAATATGAATCTGAATATAAATGTTGTTTTTGTCAAAAATGACTTACTTAAGGGTGGGAATATATTTTTAGCAAATGCCGTTGTCTACACATTTCTGTTATCATTTAAAATAACGTTCTCTATAATATATCTAGATGATGTAGTAGAATTTTGTACTACATTTCACATTGTTTTTGTTTTCCTATACGAATTCAATGTATTCTGATCGTGTTTTTTGATTTTAGCCTGCCATATAACATTTCTTAACAATGACTTGTATTCTTTAAAGTAGAGGTGGAACTCTTGATACGTTGTACTAAGAAATGAAAACAAAAGAATTGGTTTGATTTTACATGATGTTTTAATCCTTTGTTTTATCTAAGAATTGCTCTTCCGTGAAATGTTTAATTTTCTTATTTGAAGGGGAAAGCACATGATAAAATGAAATCAAAGGATCAAAAAAATATATTTTTTGTTTGCATCAACAGTATTGCAAACCGCGTCCATGACTCGTGGAGCAAGTAATCAATGAATAATTTTACTTTTAATAAACAATTTACTCATACGTGTAATATGCACTGTGTCAGTGTTCGCATTTCTTGTAATAGTAAGAATTTGAGCATCGTGGTCACTGTATCTTCAATCTGTTTTTGCAATTTCATATCTAGCAGTGGTTTTGTGGAATTTTTATTTGATCGATTGTGACGGTTCATATATTGTAGTATATAAGCTGAAGGAATTAATTAAATTAAAAATGCTCTTTCTCTCAGGAGTCGACCAGAAAAACAATACTAAATTTTATGCATACACCAATAGATTCAAAAGAGTGATTGCTGACTTAGTTTACTGTTATCTTCAGTTTCTCTAAGAACATAATATAGTCTACAGCTCGCTTTGTCGGAGACCTCTGGATGTGTCTGGAGACCACTGGAAGATCATTTTAATGTTTAATGTCAATGTTATAATGTTGTTGGTTGTTTTGTGGTACGTTAACAGTAACGTAATTGTTTACTTTTAAATAGATCAAGAATTAGAGACAACTATTTTGGCAGGATTGACTCAAAATGGTATGTTTAATGAACGCATACTACGTATTGTATGTTCACAAGTCTTTAATACCGACATGAGAAGTAGTACACAAACGTGTGCACGTTCTATGCAGGTTTTAGAATTTATAACTGGTATCTGATGGTTATTTACACAAAGACAGGTGCTCTCCTGCATTACACGTCGGGCCATTTCTGCTTTTATTAGGGCACTAATTACAACGCTGATACCGCTCCGCCTCCGGTGCTGCTAATAAAGACCCGCTCTGATGTGCGAAGATCAGTCGATGAAGGGGGGGGGGAGCACACAGGCGAGAAAGAGAGGGAGCGACAGGGAGACGAAGAATCTTCCTCTTTCTTCATTGGGCACTGCTAAGGCTTTCCTCGTCTTAGCGGATCGAGCGACACGGGCGGAGATTACCAACCTATTAAGGCCAGCGAGGCGGCGAGGCGCGAGGCGGCACGCCGTCTGAGGAAAGGCTGGAGCCCGCCTAGCTAATAATCACCCAGGCGTCTCCGAGGCAAGTGAATACCCGAGTGAGGATACAGTTGACATTTTCGTGAATGTGGCGTATGTACACTGGTTATGGATCGTTGGATTGATTAATTAGTGGCTCCGGGCGCGACAACTGTTAATGCCATTAGTCTCGCATGTGTTTATCCCGTGAGGTGGCGGTGATCTTTCCCAGCTTGGTGCTGAGATCCAGCATCGACCTACACGTCGCCTTGCGGTGATTTTCCCCAATCAGAAATCTTCCAATAGAGCCACTAGACTACTTTAAGTCGGTACGCACAATCGTTGCGTTTTCCAACTTTTGTGCCTATATTTTACATTACTTCTTGGCTGTCCGGGTGACGACGCGTCGTTGGCTGAGAGACCGACGTTTGTCATATTGCAAGGTAGTGAAGCCTGCGGCATGACAGGCGAAACGTCGGCCTCTCAGAAAAAGACACGGCCAACCAAGAAGTCATGAACTCGAGCCGCATAAGCTTACGTGTATACTTTATATTCCTGTCCACAGCTGCATATATACAGGAAATAATAATCCATTTTATTAGGAAATTACAGTTCTCAATTAAAGAAAATGAATTGTTGAAATCCGCGGAATTTCTTGTTAGAACGATTACAAGAATGTTAAATAGATATAATGGGAAAAAAACTCATTTATTTTGAAGTCGGCGTCGTTGGACGAATTTCTTAACCGCGGTACGTGGAGTCAAGTGAGTTAAACAATTCGAGACATTACGGCTTCTCGGACGGTAAACCGTCTGGGAACAACGGTTACTATAGGCGTCGACCCTCTGGCCGAAGGGATAAAAAGCACTGACTGCCACGTGACGGGACAAAAAAAGACAAATGTAACGGAGAAATTCTCCTGATACGTCATTGCCCAAGAAGGTCAATGAGCGTATCTGGAGTACTCCCAGTAAATCATTTTGTTATTTGATGGCTTAACCCGTTGCATAATGATTCTCATTACGATACAGATTTCATTATGATACATGTTCGTCACCAGTCACAGAGAAGTTTACAAACCAAGAATTGATATTTAATTAATCATTCACATACGGTATAGTAAATGTTTCGTTCGGATGTGTACATTAAAATTTCATTTAATATATTGAGCCATTGAATATATTGTCAGTTCTATTATTAGCAATTTTTTATGTAGAACGTTATTTCAAGTAAACTGAATCGTAATTTGCCTTTGATCCTCTTGGTCTATTGCAGTAACCGACAGCCACTTGCGGCATGGTAGGAAGATGTCAGCTAGGTAGCCTTTGCTGAATCCTCCATGTCAACTGCCTCAAAACCATTCTATATAAAGTTTCCGCTCGTAGTAGAAACTCGATATAGTGGGGTATTAATTCACTTGTGTGAAGTTTACGTTTCTCGCTCTTATCGTAATATCACACTCGTGTATTAAAAACCCATCATTACATCATCGTTTCATAATGTACTAATTGCGAAGACACAATAATTTGAAAAAAAAAAAATTGAAAAGTTGAGAGCCACTCACCGGTAGAAGCGGTCGCCGGTCTTCCAGCGCGAGTCGCCCACGCCCTCGCACGACAGCTGCGTGTTGAGGGAGAGGTTGGCGTTGCGCGGGTCGCTCACGAAGTCCTCCACCCCGTACGCGTACACCTTGATGGCCGTCGTGATCTCGTTCACCAGCGACGTGCTGCTCGTGTCGAAGTGCACGCCTGCGCACAGAAAAAGCACCACACGTCACGCGGCGGGAACACACTCTCGCTTCCGGGGACACCGTGCAGGGGGGACGTCTACCAACAGACACCTCTCGTAGGGGGCGCAGACACGTTCCTTCACTTTCTGTGCACTTTTGATGGAGATCGGTGGGGAATTAAGAAGTTTCGTCAAGAGGAGCATCAAATAATCGTTCGTGTTTAGGTGGTAATGAGTCGATTTCTTTACGTGACAGTGCAGAATTACGATATTTCGACAGAAGTAGCATCAAATAATCGATCATGTTCTTGTCGTAATAAGTCGGTTTGTTTACGTGAATCACGATAAAAGATAAGATCCAAAATATGTGTAATTTTTATATGTATCATATATAATATATATCAGATCAAATCATGAATGATATAAATATCGTATCATGAAAATAACGAAGGGAAAAAATAATCGTCCAGACTTAAAGTAATATAATTTTATTAATTATTACATTCCCAGCGGCCATTTTTTCCCAGAGACACTTTTCCCATTATCAGTGGTTCTTGCCCAAGCAACGTGGATTACCTACAACGTTCACAAGATGGTCGGAGAAATACATAAATCAGAAAAACGTTCTGGGTTCAACTATGCGGCAGCCATATTGTGGAATTCTTCTGGGAATGTGGAATTCATAAAATTATATAATTTTAATTGTTGACGATTACTTCTTTTCTCATATTTTGGACCACAATATTATAGATAACCAAAATCTGCTACGACCATGGAATTCAAGAAAGTATGCATGATATCAAAATTGCCCATTGGCCAAAATATGAATCATTTTCTAAATAGAAGGGAATATCTATTATTATCATATTTTTCAGAAAGTATCCCTCCTATCGTTATTCATAATTGCAATCGGGCCAGCAGAAGAAAGGGGAAAGAGATTTCGAGCTCATGGAAACGTGTACAGAGAGTGCTTCTCTGACATACGCCACACACAGACTATGCTTTGGCACTGAATAATTAAAATTATTAACAGACAAGATAGACAATACACTCTTGGGTATAAGACACTGATAAACCTGTAAACAATTTCTGTAACTATTGAGAACGAGAAGACACAAAATTCTGCAAATCCAGATATTTCAGAATACAATTCCGGTGCTTGCTAACCAAAGAGAGATATAAAATAGTCACACAGTTACTACCTAGAAATAAAACATTTATGCACCTTTTTTAATGTAAAGCAAAGCCTGATTTTTTTAAAGAAGTGTCTAACGTGTGTCTCTGAGGGACTCACTTTCAAGTGTCTCTGAGAGACTCACACAAAATTCCGACATGGAGATAATGACAGGATGAGTGTCTTTCTTTGTTGCGTCCACATATACGCAAAGCATCTTCAAGCCCTTTGGAGAGGGGGGCGTTGAGTGCTTTGCGCTTGAAGTAATCCTCTATTAACCGTTGCGCTTTTTTAAGAGTAATCCTTCATTACCAGTATGTCATATCTCACGCCTCTAGAGAACAGTCAGTTCTCAAGAGGACCGCCAGGTAGCATCTCCGCGTACCCGCCCCTTTACACGCGCTAATGCGTCACTACTCAGTGGCCAGAACTGGGAAAGAATTAGGACAGTGGTAGGGTTCAGGGCACTTCACAGGTTTGGACTAGCACCTGAGAAGTAACCAAGCTCATTTTGTCGGAACAAATTTCACATGGGATTGTCAGGGACTCGACGGGAATCGAACCTGGACCTCCTTGGTGAAAGGCGAGCGACTTCACTCTTGCGACACGAGGTGATTACACTCGGAGTCAAATTCAATTGTTTATGAAAAAGGTAACGTGTTCATTCACAGGTTTAGGGAGAAAATGCGCTGTTGGGGAAGTTTTATGGAAAAAAGTTACCAGTCCAAGACAGACGCCCTTTCTTTCATGAAACGCTCTGCGGCTGGGAGCGCGGCTGTCCGCTATTGTTGAATAGACTAACATTCTTACTACCATTGTACTTTTGTGTGGTTAACTTCTGTTAGGTTCGAGTTCACAATGAATGTTGAGGAGGGCTCTTCGAAACATCCACATAAAAAGGGCAGATCCAGCTTCGTGGAAACATAATAATTCAGAAGAAAAAGAGAAGAATATACAAACACAAGAGGACAGTTAAAGACAGCCGAAATTTTCGTTCCTGCATGTAGGTAAGATGAAATGCAATCCTTTAATACTTACATACTTAAAAATGAATCATCTACAAAAATGAATGATTTGCACTTCAAATTCATATTCATAATTATTTTCATTTTTTTCATTTGGCGGAGAAAACTATTATAATATCCTGAGCTCATTTAAATAAATAATTTGTATAAAACGTCGAGTATTACTGGCACAAAAGGAAGATCTTACTTCGTTTTATTTCTATTCATTTCACCAATAAGTGCATAAGTCCTCAGCTTTTGTATTTCCGCCAATTATCGAATATTGCGTAATAAACGTTCTGATATATTTACAATTAGGGCTTTTATTTATTGATTAGGATCATGTAACACGTTGGTTGAGTAGGCTTCCGCGGCCGGAGTTCGTTATATCTAGGCTCACCTGGACGCGCCGAGTCACTGATATGGTGGCCTGTAACATGTTGGCGCAAATTGTGAAATCCTTAAGGTTCTTTTCATTTTCCCGGAAGTTAATGGAAATTGACTGATGCCCCTTTTACATAAGCGCATGCACGTTCGCTGGAGAGGGAATATACGACCTTAATCAATACGATCAATTTAAGAGCATGAATAATGACTCGGTGAATTACAAAGTCAACATTATTTCTTCTTCTTCAGATTTCTTCTATTAAAAGTATTATAAAGCTATTCCGCGATTAATTTATAGGTGAAAATCCAGAAAAGTTTTAGTAATCAATTATTTAAATGTTTAACTCTCATGGACGTAAAAACATAAATTGCGTAATAATAAAATACTCAATTCTTAAGCTATATATGTTGGAAAACGAAATTTTAATATTGTTCTGTAGGATAACGCAAAAGAGTCGCAAACACGCAGGTACAATTCAATATGAAATGTGTATGTAAATGTCGTTGTTTCTCTTCAGCCATTCATGTATCTTTCTCAACGATCACTAATACTGCATACTACAGACAACTCCATCATTCTTTTCAAGAAATAAGACTGCACTTGTACGTTTGTATATTGCGCTTCAGATCCCCTGGGTATATGACGCGTCTTTATTCATCCGCCACAAAAGCCCCTTCTGTAAAATACGAATATATGGCGGTTTTCGGTAACAAATTGGCCAATTTTCTCGTTCAGTATGCAGTGCGAGTGCAAAGCAGTCTCCAGAGCGTACTTCCTACACGCAGCGCATCACTCAGCTCTTCCACTAGGATTCGGTCGTGTGGGTAGAAGTGGGGCACGTTACGATTTCCAGCTTTGTGCCAATCGCTTCCTGAACGTAATGTCGTACGTTATTTTTTTTTCGAATGAGGGGAATCAGAAAGAGTCGTAATTGGTCAAAGCCTTTCATAAGAGAAAGTGGAATTTGTAGCTCCATATATGTTATAATTAACCAAAAGACGTGGTGTGTGTGTGTTGAAACAAAGAATCAGAGCGCAGATAGTTTAAAACTAATAATTGTAAACTTGCAATTTACAAAAATAGCATTCCCATAAGCAATTACTTTCAATTATTGATAGTTTTAAAATTCCTGACGTACATTTTTGGACAGAATTCTTAACTTTTATTCGCAACTTTCGTGATTCTACAAGTAGTTGTTTCTGAAACTCTTGATTTCTATGTGTCCCCGAAAAGGAATGTCTGCAGGAACTGGTTTTCGCTTAATGAACGTGACATTCTAACTTTTCTTTTCACCTTTGTAGCCATTCAAAAGTATTGCACAATGTCGTGTCCCTTCATGTCAAAACGAAAAGATGATATCTGACTAAAATAAAATCTGACTTCCCATGAGCTCTCCTCAACCACCACTTGGATTAACATGTTAGGAATGTAATGTACGAGAGAAGTAACAGCGCTTATTAAAAATATCAGTGGCATAATTCATAAGCTGTTACGTAATATTGCCATAGATACTGAAACAGACCCCACAGCAAAAAATTTAAATCAAACACATACTTAAATTAAGAAAACACAGAGAATATTATTTATTTTCAGAATGTCAGAAAATATGCAAAGAAATAGCGAACTGCATTAATTATTTAATTAGTCGCATCTTCATTTATTCTACTGTTAATGATTCCTTCGTTCTTCATTTGTCATTGCGTTATTAAAAATATTATAGCAGTAGTGGAAACTACGACAATGAAAATAAATCTATCTTACTGCCAGGTTCAATGGTATGGTTACTTACATTGCTGTTGTATATTCCAATTCGCGCTTTGGATGTTACTGGGGCCAGTGGATTTTCGAAAGGTTGAAATTCATTGTTGAAAGGTTGAGTGCCACGTCATTCGTTTGCCTCAGAAAATAGCCCTGGTTAAATGCCGGACAAAACTTAAGTCCATCAGCAATTCCCTTCCTGAGCAGATTTCATATTAACTCTGCCTGGGAACGGCACAAGTAATTGACAGTTACGATTGAAATCGTTGTTGACCTTTACCCTAGAGGTGAGTATACGAATCATAGATCAATTGATAGCCTAGAACACCCCAGCCATACCAAATTCAGAAATACTCAACAATTCATAGAAGGGAATGGTGTGTAAAATTTACATGTATCCAAATCCTGAGAATTAGAAACAAAAACGCAGAATAAAGGGGAACTATAGGAAGGAATAAATTTTAAAAAAATGTGGAAAAACTTAATTCTTTGCAAAGGAAAAAATATATTATTTAAGGTTCGGAATTAAATAAAAATGATATTCAGAAACGTTTAAAGTATATCACATCAAAAAGAAGAAATAATTCACTTAGGATTAGACAAATGAAGAAAAAACTAAAAAGTAGAGGATCACTCTTATGCGTGAATTTATCACATTCAGATACCTCTTCACGCTATAAATTTTTAAGCAGTATCGTTATCTTGCTGGTTTGTACTTTTTTAGCACAACCGCTGTTATACCTTCTTTTAGTCTTAAATCCATTCTAAAGAATTTATATTTGTGCAAAAGTATTTGTCTTTTTTTGAACTGCTGTTCGCTGCAACTTTCGTTCCCGCCAGAGGCACAACACCTAACAACCTCGTACTGGTTCTGGTCTCTGCACCACGAGCAGCGAACGTGCAGAAGTGTTTAACTAAATTTTGTTTATCACCCCCAAAACAATAAAAAACTGTAAGTGAAATATGAGGGGGAGAAATATAATCTGCACACTTTTTGTTAGCTCCAGAATCCCCAAAACGCCCTTTACCCGTACATTGTTGAATGATGAATAAAATTACCAAACGGCGTGGATGGCAACATTTGAAAACTGGAAAATTTCACCGCCTTGTAATGGTTTTTGTTTCTAATTCTCGGTATTTGGATACATGTAAATAATCCACACCATCTCGTGTGATGAATTGTTGAGCATTTCTGAATTTTGTATAAAATGTGTTGAACCTGAGAGACAGAAACATTGTAGGTACGTACTAAAAGTGTGAGAATAATATTCGTGTTTATATGAATATAGAGGGTATCAGGTACAAATTCAGAAACATGTGAAAAATAACAAATTAGCACCTAAATGGAATTTCGTAATAAGCAAAAGAACAGGGACGAGAACATTAAAACATCGAAGAGGAGAAGAAATTCTATCGCCTCATCTCCTCCCGCCCACCCTGCAAAATATCTTGATCCTCTTCTCCCTTCGCGAAAAGCCATTCAAGAAAATCCTGCCAGGCTGTTATCCTCGCAAGCTGACCTGCCGCCGCTCGCCGCGCTGGCTGCGAGTGGACGCGGGCCCTGCGAGATCGCCGCGGAAACCTTATCGGGCGACGGCGCACAATCGCGTCGCCCCACGCGCGCCGGGCGCCGCGGAGACGCGGCACAAGTGCCAATCTCGAAGCCGTACGCGACGGCGGAGACGAGCCAATGGCGCGCTGGAGGCAGGCTTGCCAACGTTTGAGCGAGGGGTTCACGGGTGTGCCGGTACTGATTCCCACGTTTCTCAGTCGTTAATCTCGGAAGTGAACAATATTCCAAGTTTGTGGCCATTAAGGAAGTAATAATTTCATATTTTATACTTTCAATTCAATAGAATCATTGTTTCCTAAGCAACGTGAAATGTGCAATGTTTTGATTGTCAAGAAAAAGCTTACTACATTATTAAAGTGCGGAACATTGTCAAACTCGGGACTCGAACCCTAGGACCTAGGACGGATGCACCGCAGTGACATCAATTGATTCTCTGAGCTAACTAAGCCGGTATTCCTGGCTGCCAACGTTTGAGCGAGGGGTCCACGGGTGTGCCGGTACTGATTCCCACGTTTCTCAGTCGTTAATCTCGGAAGTGAACAATATTGCAACTTTTTGGCTATTAAATAAGTAATAACTTCCTATTTTATACCTTCAATTCAATAGAATCCTTGTTTATTTAAGCAACATGAAATGTGTCGTGTTTTGATAGTCAAGAAAAAAAGGTTACTACACTATTGAAGTGTGGAACATGGTCAAACTTGGGACTGGAACCCTAGGACCTCCTGTGTCAGATGCACTGCAGTGACATGAATTGATTCTGAGCTAACTAAGGCGGTATTCCTTCCGGAAATTTAGACGTAGCATACATTTTCTATCAGATAGACTGGTTTTGGCGTTATCAAATACAGTACGTAAATAGAAAATAAAATAACTAGTTGTTTAACCATCACCACCCCACCACAGATCAACTCTCACCTATTCTTTGGTAGCCTCTCTGCGCCGTTTTTACCCACCACTTCTTCGTCCCATTTGCTTCTGATAATTCTCCGAACCAACTTAAATAGAAAATAAAATAACTAGTTGTTTCACCATCACCACCCCACCACAGATGAACCTTCACCTATTCTTTGGTAGCCTCTCTCCACCGTTTTCACCTACCACCTCTTCGTCCCATTTGCTTGTGGTAATTCTCCGAACCAACTTCCAATATAGCTTCTACGCAACCCTCTCCATCACCTTCGTCTATTGCTCCCTCCCGAGCCCTACTTTGCTTCGCTCGGCGACAGCGCGAGCTTCGACAGCTGCCCGGGAGGGCTCGCGTTGGCTCTCCTCTTTCCAATATTTCCAATGCGGCATCGGAGACACACTCCTCACCGTCCCCTCGACCCATTCCCCCTCACTCCCCCTTGCGACCGACCCACGCACGGGCTTGGGTGGCTCACGGCATCAATTGATGTCACTGCAGTGCCTCTGCCCGGATGGTTCGAGTTCCCAGGACTTTCGACATAGCTCCGTCGAATTATGTCGGTGCCTGGAGGAGAAATTTAGCGGCCGGCTACTCTGATCGGTAGTTTTCCGTGATTTCTTCCATCAACACTAGGCGAATGCCGGAGCAGTAACCCAACAAACGGATCACGGACCGTGCGAAATCTTTCCTTCCTCTTCCTGTTTTTACCCCTTACGTACACATATTATACGTGCACGACACTACCATACATGCTGCGAAACCGGGAGCATAGAGATTATCCCGGCTGGGACGTAATCCCGGTAGTGGGAGATATCTGGTTGGGTAAATCCGCGGTTAGGTCAGCCATTCAGCGGTAATAAACCGGTACCTCCCGCCAGAAAAATATGCATTACACTCTAGTACTGATGACTTTAACAACTCCCGGAATCACTAATTAATCAATCAAATAATCAACCCCGACCCTCGCAAGCCGACCTTTTACGAAGCCTCCACCCCCGGACACGGCTCCGTTCCCTCACTTCCGTCACCAAATCCGCACCCTCACATCCGCCTCTCTCTCTTTCGTCGTAGCTGTCAACGCCCGTCCCCCTCCCGCAACCCACCCGGTCCGCACATCCTTCGCATGCGAGAACGCCGGCGGCGGCGCAGAGGCGAAAAGACAAGCTCCAGCAACGGAAATTCACCTCGACGCGCGAACGGACGCCTGCCAAAATTCCTCTCGTCCATTAAACAGACGAAAAAACCTTTTTGAAAACCTACGGAATGGACAAAGAACGGTCACGGGAAGTAATACACTTTTCGGTTTTTAAAGCTTGAAACGATGCAGATCCCTAACATATTTATCAATCATAATCATGTACTATATTTTTACATATTTTATACTAGTATTCACAGTTTATACTTCATACAAAAGTTATGGAATCCTGCTACCAATTGTGACCGCTCAGCCAGAGTCGCTGAAGCGACACTTTTTCAAAGAACGCGATACTCCTCGTCTCTACGGAAACTCTGGATTTGGCAGAGGGACGGCACGTGGCTTGGAAGAGTCCTCATCGAACTTGACGCGAAGGGGAGAGGCGAAGGGGTAGCGCTGGCAAACGGAGGGCTACAAAGAACCTCGCACCTCGCAAAGCTCTCCGCGCTCTCATTTAGTTTTGCTGCGCGACGGTGTAAACCTGGCAAGAAGTAGTCCTGCGCGTGATATAAACCGGCGAACTGGAATTCGGAGCGAGAGAAAAAGGTTTAGAAAGGACTCCCTAAAGTAAATATGAAATTTATTTAAACAACAATTTGCGGAGTTGTAAACTCTAATACTGTAACATTTTGATGCTGATGAGCACAATCAGATTTGCAGAGATGTTTATATGGGGTCCCGTCGGTTCGTTTGCCGGTCCGATTGTCGGTCCGTCTGTCGTCCGTCTGTCGATCCATCTGTCCGTCCGTCCGTTCGTCCGTCCGCCCATCCGCCTTGTTGTCTTCCTGTCTGTCCTTCCATCCGTCTCTTTTCCTTCCTGTCAGTCCGTCCATTCGTCAATCTGTCGGCCTATCCGTCTGTATGTTTGCCAGTCTGTTTGTCCGTTCACCTGTCTGTTGGTCTGTCTGGTCTGGTTTGGTCTGTCTGTCAGTCCATCCGTTTGTCTGACCGTGTGCTTGTCATGATGTGATCTCGGCAATATGCTTAACGTATCCGTCATTATAAAATGATAAGGTACGCACTAAAATTAAAGTTATTGAAAGATGCTACGACGATCTTGCCGCTCTAAGCGAAGAAAAGTGACTGCTCCATTGCTCACGGAGCCCCACGAACACCGCGTTTGGACCTTTTGTTGCGAGTCAACCGCCGATTAACTGTCCGCACCGGACGACGGGTGTAAGGTTTATGCGCCGCTATTGCGCGACGCCTTCGCCTTCAGCGTATTTGAGAACAGTGACCCCATTCAGAGTCTCCAGTAACCGTTTGCTGGGTTCGACCATCTTCTTTCTTTCTCTAAATCCCTTCTTGTATTTTTAAACTTGCATTTAAATAAAGAAATTTATAATTTCGGCAACAGCTATTTTCAGAAAGGAAGAGTTTCACGTATACACCCACAAATTAAGCACGTGTGTATGTTTACATTGGGATCAGGCTAAACAGACACACAAGGCTAAACAGACTTTAGTTGTAAGATGGTGTCTTCCAACAACTACCGTACAACATTCAAGACAGAGATTCCGTAATGAAATCTGTTCTTTTGCGTAAAATAAAGCGATTTTAACCTCTTCTTTATTTTCTCAGAAAGGGCCTAAAATTTTCTCGTCGTATGGATCAAAGAACGTCATAAAAAAACGACACGCGTCTTCATCCAACGGCCATGCTTTTGGACGCCTTCGGAGAGGTCTTTCAGGTTCATTACGACCTTTTCGGTGTACCATCGCGTGATTGAACGAATCACAAACGTTGGACCAAACCGGTTGACCGAAATATGGGGTAAAATCGGCTTCCCAGGAAGAGGTGCGCGGAGTTTCTGAAGGGTGGGAAATCCGCAATTGTCCTGTCACTGCGAGGAGAGGCGGGCGGCAACGTGGCTGTCGCCGGGCGAGAAACGGTCACAAAGATGGCGAGAACTGTATTGTTAAGTTAGGCGTGGATGCCCCTAGCGCGGCCAGACTTTACCATCATCTCCAGTCACGGAATCCTGTAGATAATATTTGAGTAATACACTTCTTTTGATCCCTGACTTTTTCAAACAGTTAAGAAACACGCCAAAGAAAAATCTATTGTATTTCATTAATCACACGCCCATCGGTTGAATAACATCTGGGTTTAGGATGACTTGAACCTCGCGGATCAGGGCGCAGGGTGAGAAGATTAAGTAAGAATTTAACGTAAATATCTGTATTTAAAATGCATACATTGTTCCTAGAAAGGAGGGTATAGAAACTGTGATAGAACATGATGTTGGAAGAAATATAGAACGATCCTCAGATGAAATGAACACAGATAGAAAACTTCAGTAGGTTGGGAGCAGAAACAGAAAAATGTACAAAAAAAAATAAAGAATAACACACGATTTAGTGATGAGAAGAGGAAGATGAGGACCTGTAAGTTGTATGAAGTTTCATTTTTGAGAAAAAAAATTGTTTTGAACTGATAAAATGCATTATTGCGTATCAAAATTAAATTCATAAACATTTTATTCATTCACGTTATTTTTTAATGATCAACTGAGATCCGTGAATTGTGCAGTTTTATCTTCGTGGAATATTTGCAAAATCCTCCCTTTGTTGACTGAGTTGAACATCCTACCCTTACTATACCAAGAGTGTTGTCGAACCACTCGTTATTGACCTGTGCAATATCGGCTGGTTAATGAGCTGTAATTTTTGACGTAATTTGTATTTCATATTACCAGAAATGCGCGTTGTTGCTGGGGTCAATTCCACTAATTAACTTTCCTTAATGATTGCTCGTTTCGCTTGCTAGATAATAAACACCCGTCGGTGTTACCTGTAAAATTAACTGGAGTTAAAAATGGAAATATTAAAAACATTAATATTGTATCAGAGCGGTACTATCCATTGTCCCTTAAATTGGCACAGCCTCCAGTTCTTTCGCGAAACGAAACACATATTGTGTTCTACTTTAATGATTGTGAAATTTTGTATGTATATATAAGTAAAATTAAGTTTTGTTATCATCTGCACACAGATTTTCAGAATATACAGCAAAACATTTCTATAAATATTAAGTTTTAAAATGGTTGTCGCAATATAATTCTATTAAATTTTTGTCCAGTTCCTTTTTATGTTTTGGACAACCATAATAAACATTTCCAAAAAAAATTATTAAACAATGATATTTATTTGTTTACTATTCTTACAACGTTTCGTAAACTGTTCTGTCACCCTCATTAGATAAAATTGAAAATTTAATTATAAAAGTATTCTAATGATGCCAAAATGATTTTCCCAAAATTACAAAAAATAACAAATAAATCTATACTTTTACCAACTAAATTCCAAACAAAACATCACTAGGTTTTTAAGACTTAATATGCTAAGTTAAAGGAGATAAATTTTCCTTAAAATAAAAAAAAAATTAAAAAAATACTAGTTTTTTAACATTATTTGCAATATTGCATTGTTATTATAAAATACTTATATTATTAAAAAATCTATTGTCAAATTTACTTCTGCAGACTTCTGTTTCTACTGAGTGAACAGTATCGTATACACTAATGCAAATACTGTATGTGAAATTATTTGTGAATATAATACATCGAATGAAGCATGGATGTGAAATCGGCTACTGTTTGAAGCGGAATATTTAAAAATAGTTACTGCATTTGGTATCGGGAAATCTAACTTATACCGCATTTTCATCAAGAATATTTTAGTTTCTTTTACGACCATTAAGAATGACCTTCATAAAATTGTATTAAAAGTAAAAGGTAATAGAACTGTATTTACTTCCTTCTCTTATCGACACTTCGGACCGTTATTGACTGTACTTTGCTCCGGGTCGCCAAGCTGTCGCTGATAGTTCTTTGGATCGAATCAATCCGATAAGTTGGATGACGACCACACGAAAGGGGAGGGTGAAAGGGT